TCTCAAGCATAAAACAACAATTCAGTTAAAACATCTATAATTATTCACCCCACATTGTAAGATTTGCATTGTCCTCAATCAAATATAAGAATTAAAGTGCAACTGAACTTCCCTGAAAAGCAAAGAAATGAGCAAAGAGTCGTGGGAGGCAAAGCTAATCTGAGATTCAATTCAAGAAGAAACCTGATCAAAATTGATGTATAAGGACATTTAACTCAGTTCAAAGTGACAAGAGGAATAGAACTATCAAAATAACATAATAAAGAAACAAAACCAATAAAAAAAATAGAAGCAATGTAAAATTTGATGATAACATAGGTAAGAGATGTCTGACAACTAAACTATCCTAATTTCAACTAAACTGCTGCACTAACATCACTTGAGTCTTCATCATCTGTACTCAGGAAGTGGTCAGAAGGAGATGGGTTTGGATGGAGGACTGTCGGTGCTGAGATACCAAAATGTGTGAACAGAGCAACAAAGTTGGCTTCGATTGTGGATTCCAGTCTAGCCAAACAGTGAATGCAGTCTCAGTGGCTGCTCCTGAAAGACCGTTGGGATGCAACGATCTGCTGCAGCTGATGGTGAATGGGGCTGGGATCTTCAGGGGTTGTAGGGGGACTGTCGACCCTGAATGGGTGAGAGGGTAGCTCATCAAAGGGGTCATCTTAGGCATCAGCGAGGGTATTGGCTATTGGTTCAAAGTGCATGGCCTTCATTGTGTCGTGCAGGATAAGGGCCATGTGATTAACCAGTGTTAAACCAGAAACGTCATTCAGAATTCCTAATCCCTTAGCCAGGCGAGTGACATATAGACCCGCACAAATACTCCTAACCTGATCATCGCTGGCTTGAGAGAACAGAATGCCAGACAAATACCGAGGTGGATGGGGATCTTATCAATCATGCTAAGCAGATATTCTAGGTCCTTTGTACCCACAACCCAAAGCTGTGGCCTCTCCCAGTAAGAGTGTGGGCTAACAGAGCATATACATATCTCCAAGTCAGTTTCTTCAATGTGGATGCCTTGGATCGAGTAGGATTCCAATCCTTATCGACAGCGCTAATCCTTTTCCAAAAATCTTTATTGGAGCAACCCAAAAGAGGGATATGGGCTAGGTTTCGATACTCTTCAGTGAGTACAAAATCAGATGTGTAAAGCCCCATTCGGAAAGAAAATTTAGAGTAACTCATCTTGTACATGTTGTTCACCATCCAAAATTGAATGGAGTCTTCAGAATCCCAACCAGAAAATTTCTTTTCAATAACTAGGGTAGTGAGGAATTCTAATATAAGTTCTCTATAGGTAGGCTCAATAATAGAAGACAGAACTTCCCAATGCCCTACTCCTACCAATTCCTTTACTTCATCAACTAAATTATAATGTTGTAAAACGTCCCATTCAATAAATTTGCTCTGGCCCCAAACCCTGTTTTTCAGCTTATCATACCTTGTGAAGTGGGCAGGGGCGTTGAACCAAAGCAGCTGGGATGAAGGAGGGTGCGGTAGACGTTCATGCAAGGAGCGAGGGCGCTTCCTCACTGGTTCCTTGCCCCTTCTGGGCGCTCTGGAAGAAGACCCATCAGTCATGGTGGGTTGTAGAAAAACTGGGCGTGGAGAGAGAGGAGAAGGGGTGCAAAATATTTTCTGCGTAGAGAGGAAAGATAAAAGTCGAGCGTGGGGGTTGCTGGAAAATTTGAGGTTTAAGAGAGTGGAGAGGGTGAAGAAGAAGAACCAAAGAAAAGGAAGGGGGTATTGGAGGGTTTATACAAACAGAGGCACAACGCAGGATTAGAAACAGGGGATGGGGTATTTTAAATTCATCGCGCCAGGTACACGCCCGTGTATCTGAGCGTGTAAATCACGACAATGGAATTTTAAAACAGAACACGAACTGGGCATGTACACGGTTGGATACACGGCTGTGTATCTGACCGTGTATATCTCTGTACAACAGAAAATAAAACTACATGGGCGTGTACATCCCTGCCCAAATCTCGTCTAAGCAAAATGAAGGTACACAGCTGTGTATCTGGCCGTGTACATCTCTGCCTAGCAGAAATACCATGAAACAAAAGTACACGGCTATGTACATGTCCGTGTATCTTACTGCCTTCTCTCTCTATATATTTTTTCTTTTCTTTTTTTATTTTTATTATGATTATGAATAAATGAAAATAAATGAGCCAATGAATAATTAAATTGTAATAAACTAAAACTATCTAACCTAAGCAAATAATTAACCAAATTAAAACAAACTAAACCTACCTAATCTAGACTATGCACAGTAATTTATCATTCAACATGGAGGAGCTTGAGCTTCTCATTCTCAAAAGTTTGAATTTGAACCCCTGGTATAATTTTAGCCTATATCCATTTACCTTAAAGTTTTCTTTTTTTGGATGAGTTAATTCAATTATACCATAAGGGAACACTTTGTGCACAGTAAATGGTCTAAACCAACGGGATTTGAGTTTACCTGGGAATAATTTGAGGGAGAGTTGTATAACAGTACTAAATCACCTTTTTGAAATAGTTTACCTCCCTTGATTTTTTTTATCATGGTAGACTTTCATCCTCTCTTCGTATATCCTGAAATTTTTATAGACTTCTATGCGTCATTCTTCCAATTCATTCAATTGCATCAACCGCTTGTTACCTGCATGATTAGGATCCATATTTAGGGATTTAATTGCCCAAAATGCCTTATGTTCAAATTCAACTGGAAGATGACAGGCTTTACCAAACACAAGTCTATATGGTGTAGTGCCTATAGGAGTTTTAAAAGTTGTCCTGATAGCCCACAAGACATCATCTAATTTATCAGCCCAATCCTTCCTATTCTTCTCTACTGTCTTTTCTAACACTCTTTTCAGCTCCCTATTAGCTACTTCAACTTGGCCACTAGTTTAAGGGTGATATGGGTTAGCAATTCTATGGATGACTCCATATTTATTCAAAACTTTTTCTAGTTGTGTATTGCAAAAATGTGTACCCTTATGAATAATTAAGGCTCTCGGTGTGCCAAATCGTGAAAATAACTTTTTGAGGAACCTAGTGACTACCCTTGCATCATTAGTAGGTAAAGTTTGTTCCTCTACCTATTTGGACAAATAATCAATAGCAACTAAAATGTATTTATTCCCTTTTGAACTAGGAAAGGGTCCCATAAAATCTATCCCCTAAACATAAAAAATTTCACAAGTTAGGATGTAATTTTGGGGCATTTCATTTCTTTGGGAGATATTACCTGACCTCTAGCAATTATCGCATAACTCAACATACTTGTGAGCATCTTTAAAGATAGCAGGCCAATAAAATCCAGATTCTAGCACCTTTTTAGCTGTCCTACTCCCAGAATGATGTCTTCCAGCAAGGCCAGTATGACAATGTCCTAGAATTTTCCACCCTTCAGAGTGTGATACACACCTTCTAATAACCTGGTTTGCACAAATTCAAAACAAATATAGGTCCTCCCAAAAATAGTATTTCAAATCGAAAAAGAATTTCTTCTTTTGTTGACTTGAAAACTCTTGTGGTAAAACCTTAGGAACCAAATAGTTAGCAAAATCCACAAACCATGATAAATAAAAATCAGAAGCAGTTACCACATTGTACAGGTGTTCTTCTAGAAATTTGTCATTAATGCTCCTTTCGCCCAATTCCTCCATACTGGGATTCTCCAACCTTGACAAGTGATCAGTAGCCAAATTTTTTGAACCTTTTTTATCCTTAATTTCCAAGTCGAATTCCTGCAGTAACAAGACTCATCTCATTAGTCTAGGCTTTGCATCACTTTTGGTTAGCAAATAATGTAATGCGGAGTGATCAGTATACACTATCACTTTAGAAAGAATTAAATATTGGCGAAATTTATCAAACGCAAACACCACAGTCAATAATTCTTTCTCTGTTGTAGTGTAATTCTCTTGGGCACTTGTTAGGGTCTTGTTGACGTAATAAATAGGCTGAAAATGCTTGTCTTTTCTCTGACCAAGTACAGCTCCCACAGCATAGTCACTTGCATCGCACATAAATTCAAATGGATAGTTCCAATTTAAACCACACAAGATAGGGGCTTGGGTTAGTTTTCCTTTTAGTAACTCAAAAGCAATCAAACACTCCTCATAAAAAACAAAGGAATTTTCCTTTTCCAAAAGTCTGGTCAGGGGTTTGGTGATCTTGGAGAAAGCTTTGATAAATCTCTTGTAGAATCCTGCATGGCCTAAGAAGCTCTGAACTGCCTTGACAAAAGTAAGAGGCGGTACCTTTTCGATTGTGTCAATTTTTTCCTTATCCACCTCAATTCCCTTACAGGAAATCTTATAACCAAGTACAATGTCTTCTTGCACCATAAAATAGCACTTATCCCAATTAAGCACCAAATTAGTTTCTTTACATCTTTGAAGAACTCTTGACAAATTCTTTAGGCAATGAGAGAATGAGTCACCGAAGACTGAGAAGTCGCCCATGAATATCTCCATTATATCTTCTACCATTTCATAAGAAATGGCCATCATACACCGCTGAAAAGTTGTCGGTGCATTGCATAATCCGAACGGCATCCGACGGTAAGCAAATGTTCCATATGGGCATGTGAAGGTAGTTTTCTCTCGATCTTCCAGTGCTATTGGAATTTGAAAGTATCCTGAGAGCCCATCCAAGAAACAGTAAAACATGTGGCTTGAAAGACGCTCCAGTATTTGGTCAATGAATGGGAGAGGGAAGTGGTCTTTCCTTGTTGCATCATTCAATTTTCAGTAGTCAATACAAACCCTCCATCCCGTAACAGTCCTAGTAGGCACTAGCTCATTCTTCTCATTGGGCACCATAGTTATTCCACCTTTCTTTGGAACAACTTGCACCGGACTCACCCAAGGACTATCCGAGATAGGATAGATCATTCCGGCATTGAGTAACTTAATCATTTCTGCTTTCACCACCTCTTTCATGTTTGGGTTCAGCCTTTTTTGTGGTTGCACGACAGCCTTAAAATCAGACTATATCAAAATCTTTTGACTGCAAAAAGGACTAATCCCTCTTATGTCAAAGATCTTCAATGCTATTGCTTTCTTGTACTCCTGAAGTACATTCAGCAGCTGGGTTTTTTGCTCTTGTGTTAAATCTGAAGCAATGATAATCGGTAGCTTGCAACCATCTTCCAAAAAGGCGTATTTCAGATGTTCGGATAGGACTTTCAATTCTACATCTGGTGATTCATCAGTGGATGGGTTGGGTTGCTTATCTGAATTCTGCTCCAGAACTTCAAAGTTCCTCCTTCTCAATAAGGGCCCCATGGATTCTAAATGACACCACTGTTCTCGACTTAGCATGCTCATGTCATCTTTTCCTTCTTCATGAACTAAGCTCTTTTCCAATGGATCTGACATAAAGAATTCTTGTGCACAGTCAGAAACAAAGTCATCAATTACATTAAGGAAGAAACAAGAATCGTCTTGCTTTAAGGACTTTTTCATTACTTCAGGAATTTTGAAAGTGACTTTTTCATCCCCTACTCTCAAAATTAACTTTCCATCACTCACATCAATTATGGCTTTTGCAATAGCTAAAAAGGGACAACCTAAGATCAAGGGGACTTATGTGTCCTCATCCATATCAAGAATCACAAAATCAACAGAAAAAAATAAAATTGTCTACTTTTACAAGCACGTCTTCAATGATACCCCTAGGATATATAACTGACCTATCAGTTAATTGAATACTCATCCTAGTTGGCCTAGGTTCTTCCAAACCTAATTTCTTAAAAATAGAATATGGCATCAAATTAATGTTAGCACCTAGATCAACCAAAGCTCTATCAACTATCAATTTACCAATGAGAAAAGGAAGAGTAAAACTCCCTGGATCCTTCAATTTTCCAGACATTTTGTTTTGCAGAATTGCTGAGCATTCTTCATTTAGAGTTACCGTGGCTAACTCTTCCAGCTTCTTCTTGTTGGACAGTAGATCCTTCAGAAAATTTGCGTATTTGAGCATCTGTGCTAAAGCATCAACAAACGGTAAATTGATATGAAGTTGACGAAATAAGACAGAAATTTACCAAATTGTTCATCATCCTTATCTTTCTTCAATCTTGCTGGGTAAGGGAATGGAGGTATGAATTATTTCACAGCAGGAGGTTTTTCCACAGTCTCCTCTTGACCTTTATCCTCCTCTTCAACTGCAGCTTTCTCTACTTCTTGTTTCGCCTTCTCTTGTAATGTTTTGCCACTCCTTAATGTTACTGCCTTGACTTGCTCCTTACGATTAGTCTCAGTATTGCTAGGTAAGCTCCCGTGGAGTCTTTCTGAAAGGAGTCTAGAAATTTGACCTAACTGATTCTCTAGATTATGGATAGAGGCTTGTTGATTTCTTAGTGCTATCTCGGTGGATTGGAACCGAGATTCTGAAGTTTGAATGAATTTGGTCATTAATTCCTCAAGATTTGATTTCTTTTCAGCTGGAGGCAGTGGTGGATGTGAAGTTTGTTGAAATCCTGGGAGTGTTTTGTTCTGCATTGGCTGTTGGTTGTTGTTCCATGGTGGGGTTGCATAACTCCTCCAGCCTGAATTATTCATGCCATTATAATTTTGGTAAGGTAGTCTATTTTCTATCACATTGGCATGCTCTTCTTGAGTAGCTTGACACTCATGATTAGGTTGGCCTCCTCCACAAATATCAGATAAACCATCAATCTTCTTCCTTAACGCTTCAACTTGCATTGCCAAGGATGTTACTGCATCAAGACTATAGATCCCAGCAGATTTCGCAAGTTTGGATCGAGTGAAGCTCCATTGATAGTTGTTCATTACCATTTCTTCAAACAGTTATTATGCAGCCCTTGGTGTCTTGCTATTCAAAGCGTCCCCAGCTGCAGCATCAATCATTTGTCATATGGCGGGGTTCAACCCATTGTAGAAGGTTTGCACTTGAAGCCAGTCCAGAATCCCATGATGTGGGCACTTTCGTAGCAACTTCTTAAACCTCTCTCACGTATCATATAAAGTCTCTGACTCTAACTGGTAGAAGGAAGAGATATCATTCCGCATCTTGGCAGTTTTTGTAGGAGGGAAATATTTTGCTAAGAACTTTTCTGCCAAGGCCTCCCATGAAGTGATAGATCTTTGCGGGAGAAAGTTCAACCATTGTTTTGCTCTGTTCCTGAGAGAGAATGGAAATAGCCTTAAGCGGATTGCATCATCAGTAGCTCTATTTATCTTGAACGTATCACAAATCTCCAGAAAATTGGCGATGTGAGCGTAGGGGTCTTCATCTTGTAGCCCATCAAATTGAACAAACTGCTGAACCATCTAAATAACATTGGGGTTTATTTCAAAATTTTCCTGCACATTCGGACGGACAATGCTAGATTCTGTCCCAGTTAATGATGGACGAGCATAATCGGAAATGGTCCTTAGTTGCTCTTCATTGTTTGTCATTCCTTCCATGTGGGTTTGTGCGTTTTCCCTCTGTACTAGCAGTCGCCTCTCTTTCTAAATTTTTTGCACAATTCTTTCTATCTCTGGGTCAAATTCAAATAGTTCTTCAAACAGTGCAGCAGATCGAGTTCTGATCACACACCAGAAAAATCAGCTCCTAAAAAGAATGAAAGCAAAATAGAAAAGTTAATTCAAGACTAAAGAAATAAAGAAAATTAGTAAATACATAATTAAGAGAATCCTAATTAATCAGTTCCCTGCAACGGCGCTAAAAACATGGTGTGTAAAAATCGATAACTGGGCAAGTGTACCCGTTGTCAGAGTAATATTATGAAAAATAGAGTACCAAGTGTCGTATCCACAGGGATTGTTATTAAAAATTACTTCCTTAATTGCGCAATTGTTAATGAATATGAGAAATAAATTTTGTTGATAAAATTGCTAAAAATAGAAGAATAATAACTTAAAAGGAACATATTTCTTATGAAAATAAATTATAGAAAAGTATGACTAAAGGTATTCAACAGAAATGGGCGAGTATCTAGACTGTAAATCTTCCTAAGTGGCCAAATAACTGAAATTTTCCTTCAACTATTTAGTTCTAAACCTTTATTGCTGCAGAAAATTTTGAATTAAACTAATACCTTTCTCAAGGATAATAATTCGTAACTCTCGGTTGATCAATCAGAATCTCTTCCTTAATTAATACTCTTAGGTTACATTAAATTCATTATGAATTCCATAATTAGAGTTAATCCTAATACAAAAAACTTACATCTTTCTATCTCTAGAAATACATTCATGTCTTTTTAATTGAGCAATGTTAAGTTCATACATGAATTTTACTCAAATTCAAACAAAAAAATAAGGTGGAAGACAATTGATACTATTCAATTAAACCCAAGAGAAGAAAATATGAAATAACATTAAGAAGAATATCAGAAAGTTTGGTCATATAGGATTCATTACGTCTAGATACTCGAAGGAAAATTAGAACCTAAACATCTTGAAACTAAAATTACAAAAGGGAGAAATTAGAGAACTTGATTTCATTCTTCAGTTGTCACCGACTTCGTCTTTCCCTCGAACTTCTTTTTTAGGTTTCTGTGTCAAACTCCCTTTTATATCAATCGTCCAAGGGTTTATCTTCACGCACAATTTGAATTTTGACGCACATTGAAAGTAAACGCTCAAGTACACGGCCGTATACCTTGGCCGTGTACATCTCTGATTTCCAACAATTGTCCTTCAAAGCTTTTCTGAAAAGTACACGCCTATGTACACGGTCATGTACTTTGACCGTGTACATCTCTGGTTTAGGGGATACCTATCAATTGATGCGACCAGTGATATACACGTTCATATACACGGGCATGTATTTGCCCGTGTATATCTCTAGCTTGAATGTATGCTTGGTTTATGAATCCAGTGAGATACACGCTTATATACACGGGCATGTACCTGCCCGTGTATATCTCTGCTTCCTTTCTTCCTTCAATTCCCAACATCTTTTAAGCTTTCACTTTTTGATCATTTTCTTGAAATATGAATAAAATGAACTTAATAATAGTAAATTATTTTAATGAATAGTTCAAAAGTCTCAATTATCATTTATGAATTACAATGTAGGACCAAGTATAGAAAGCATTTATCAGAAACCTTTAGATAATTATGGATCTAAAGTCTCAATTAGGATATTCTACTTTATTAACGCTGCAATAGGCCTTTTTGCATCAATCAACAAAATAGAAATAGTTGAAGAGGTTTTGAAGGCATATAAATATCAAAGAATAAAGAAAGAAATAATCCAAACAAGTCTCATAATTCTTAAAATTTCCCTTAAATAGATCTAACCAAATTATCTAATTAGAAAAATTGTGAACAGGATAAGGTGATTAAAAATTCTAAAAGTAAAAAAAATAAAAAGATAATATCCTAAGAATTTAATTTATATATCTACATAGAACATATCTCTAATTTAGTGCATCTTTAAAAAAAAATGGCCCACAATCCTCTGATTAACTTAATGTATAAAAGTGAATCTTGCCTTGCTTATTGTGGGTAATGGTGTGGGCATATTGTTGCTTCAATAACTCTAACAGAATGGTATAGTGATACCATGACTTGATTTTCCTAAATTTACTTAAAATATTTGCATTATTCTTCTTTTTTTGTCCAACACTTCAGCTTATCCTGTAAAACATAGAATATAACATTAAGATCTTAATAGTATTTAATTTGTTTAATTAAGAGGAATTGGCACAAAAGTATATAGAAAGGCATGTTATCAGTTATCATTATAGAAGAGTCTTTTTCTTGGAACTTCTTTAATGTATTTTAAAATGTGAATTATAGCATCCCAATATCGTTCACAAAGGGAGTTAAAAGTTTAACTTATCACACTAACTGTAAAAGAGATATACAAACAATGGCTGGTGAGATAATTTAACTATCCAACAAGCCTCCAATACTTCTCTAGATCAAAAAGAGCATCACCCTGACTTGCTAGAATATTGAAATTATGGTCTATCAAGATCTTTTGTCTAGAAATGATGACATAAATGTTGCCTGATCTATGTAATATAATGGTGATTTCTACCAATAATAACAATATTATCGACATAAACAAACAAACAAATGTATCTTAAGGCAGAATGTTGATAGAAAAATAAGTCATTCTAAATTCTTGTATTACATTATTGAAGTAACCAAATCATGTCCTAAGAGATTGTTTAAGGCCATACAATGATTTTTGAAGATGATAGAATAATCTAAAAGACTCCCCATGAGCAACAAATCCAAGAGGTTGCTCTATATATACTTCTTTCATGTGATTACCATGGAGAAAGTCATTATTACTAGAGAGAATATATCACCATAATTTAAACCAAAATCTTGAGTATAGCATTTGCCCACTAGATGAGTCTTAACATAATCAATATGGCCATTAAGGCCAACCTTGGTGGTGTAAATTTATCTTCATCCAACAAAAGACTTTCCTGAAGGAAGAGAACAAGATCTCAAGTAACATTGCTTTGAAGTGTACGCATCTCATTAATTATGACCTGTCACTGACTAGGATGGGAGAGAACATCACTTGTATTTTAGGAATAGAAACATAAGACAATGAGGAAATACGAGTATAATTAGAAGAGGACAAACAATGATATGTCAAAACAACATAACAAGGATAAAGATTACGAGTGAAACATATATCTTTTTGAAAAATAATAGGAAGATTAAACTCAAGAGATAAAGTTAGAGGCGAAGGAGTTAATACCAAAGGTAGGACAAAAAGAGGCTTGTTACTAGCATGTGATAGCAAAGAGGATATATGATTCCATCTATGGTATACCTGTAAAAGAATATTAAAGAGGACTATCTAGAAGAGATGATATCTTAAGTAGTTGAAAAATAATAGGAACAGAAGAAAGAGATGAAAAAGTGTGTTAAACTCAAACTCAAAAGGAGGAGAAGACAAAAAAAAAAAAAACAAAAACAAAAACAAAAACAAAATCGACTCAAAAAAGGTAGCATCAACCAAGACAAGAACGAGTTAGATAGTAACACTTATAACTTTTCTAAGATTAAGTGTAACCAAGAAAGATGCATTTGTAAGCACCAGCAAATAACTTGTCAATCCCTCAACTAAGATTTTAAACAAAATAAGTGAATCCAAAGATACAAAGAAAGTTAAGATGAAGATTGATGAGGAAACAAAACACAATATAGTACATGATTGTTAAGGATGGAAGAAGACATCTAATTAATAAGATAGCAAGTTGTAAGGACAACATCATCCCAAAAATGATGAGAAATATCATCATTAAAAAGAAAGTGTTAGTAGTTTCAATAACGTATCTTTTTTTATTTCATCAGTTTCATTTTCTTCAAGGACATAGGCACAAGAAGTTCAATAAATAATATTATTAGAAGTCATAAAATTTTGAAAGACTGAAATATAGAAAATAACTTTAATCAACTTTTCATTAAATATAACCAAGTACAACTATAATAATAATAAATAAAAGTAATAAAAAAAATCTAAATTCTAAGATAGACAAGTATGACTTAACCTCAAACATCAGAATGAATAAAACAAAAAGGATGCGAAGCTTGACAATTAATATGAATAGAAAAAAAAATTATAAATATGTTTGTCTAATTGATATAACTTACAAGACAAAGTGGATAGTTTGGAGGGACTTAGTACCATTTGCTATAACTTTTAAAGACTTTGAGATGATTTAATTAAGCATGAATTAGGAGTGGAGAGTCCACCATTGAGCCAACTTGAATAGTAGAATATAGATGATAAAGTTTTTGTGACTTAAATCTAATATCAATAATCTACCTTGAACTTCAATCTTGTAGAAAATAGAGTCTTCAGTAAAAGATACAATGTAATAAATAGAACGAGTTAGATGACTCATGGATAGCAAATTAAACTGAGACCCAAAAATATAAAGGACACTATTAATGGATTATGATGGAAAAAGGTGAATGTATCAAGATCTTGAGATTGCATTTGAGATCCATTAGTCATAGTAATTGATGATAAATAACTAGAAATAGAAAGAAAAGAAAAAAAAAGACTTTTTACCAATGACGTGATCAATAAATCTAGAATCAAGGACCCATAAAACAAAAGAGGGAGAGTAAGAGATATCAGTGAAAGAATTACTGATGTACGCAATATAGGCAATGAAACTAGAGATCTTACACTCCTTGTACCATCAAAGGAAGTCATTATAGGTGAGAGAATGAGCAAAAGTTGTGGGTACAATAGAAGTGGTACAATAAAAGTCCTAAACTCAAAAGAAACAAATGAAATTGCCTAAGTCATGAGATAGTCAAAAAGTAAGAGAAACTAATGGGTAATGGACTCGCCAAAAATGTAGGATTAAAATTAGTCTCTCATGTAAATAACATATTGAAAGGGAAAAAAGTAAATAAGCATGTGAATAATGTTACGAACCCTTTTTATAAAGGATCAATGACATCATACTTCACTGCTCCTAATGTAGATTTATTTATGAGATAAAATACACATATGGTACAAAAGATATACTTTTCAAAAATTAAACTTCAACATCTCAACAAAATAACAGAGCCTTAATATACTTTTCATACAACCCAAGAATTTATATAAGTATATGTATTTACAATAGTTACTCTATATGGAATTCAAGATACATTTGCATTCCTTGAAAATTGTAGCTAAATTATCTAGACCTATTGCTAAGACCTAGACTAACAAAATAATTAAAACTACAATTTTTCCAAAAAGCATACTGACTCCGACATTCCTCATCCAAACCTTCCAGCATGAGAAGTAACTGCATTATCTGTCACATCTGCTCACGCACTACTGTACAATCATTGCAATACACACATTAACACAGACAATATGTAAGGGCGAGCTTACAAAATGATAATCACGAACATAAATGGCAGATTGTGAACGTAAATATTTATACTTATTATTTAAATAATTTTTCAGCACATAACGCAGCAATGTAACCCATTCCCAATCTATCTAATACAAAATGCAACATCTTAGTTCCAACTGGTTTCACAACCCCAGAAGGAACCTACAATTTTACAGTTTGGGAGCGATCCATCCCAGTACCTAAATCTAGATATACAGCACAACTAAACTCGACATGTTTTCTAACCTTACATGCCTACGCCCCTTAAATATGTGACTCGGCTCTAGTATGATGATATTTCATACAAATCATAGTTGTACGACCCAGTATCAATGTGTTTTCAACAACAATCAGCTGTATACAACAATCGCTCATTATTTACAACTTGTATTACAATATAACTAACATAAGATATTATCATTTATCAGTTAATTTTAGCATATAATATCTTAGCTCAACAATTCAATTTTCACAAATCATCCATATATGTATATACTTATTGTTCTACCTTAGGGTTTACCCATAAGTGATTTATTCTCAGCTATATCAAGGTTTGCATATAAATATTTCTATAGGTAATCATAAGAACTTAGAATAAGCTCTCCTTACCTAGAAATAGATGTTTTCCTATATCACTCCTTTTGTAAGCCCCCAAAAAGATATATAATGCCCAAAGAACTTAGATCTCATTATCATTTCAAAACATAAAGCTCTTAAGAAGAGAAATCAAGAAAATAAGGAGTAAAGATGGAGAACTAAGTTCCAAAAATTAACCTAAATCTTGTATGATATAGGCATTCACACTTGGATCGAGAAGAAGTTTGGGTTCGAGAAAGTCTTTCTCTGAGAAGGAAAGGTGAGAGAATAAAGAGAAAATGAGAGAGAAAGGTGGGTTGGTGAGAGTTCAAAATCCCCTTAAATACTCCTAAACTCGCGACTTTCTCGCTACAACGAGCAACTCTTGCTACAGTGAGATATACAATATAATAGATCCTTTCTGTTATCTGTCATTTTTGCTATAGTAAGAATTTTTCACTTCAGCGAGAGTATTAATTGAGTCAACCTTATCCACTTTTTGTTGCGACAAGAATTTTTTGCTACAGTAAGAGAGCTCCAAAAAGCCTATTTCTGGACAACTTGAGCGAGACATCCTGCAGTTTACACAAATTAGACCTATTCAATCCACACAATTTGCATAAGCTCTATACTTAGCAACTATATAGCTCACACATACATAAATCCAAGCCAAATTATACTTTTATTAACATAAAACATCGTATTCAAAATACAAAAATATCATAATTAAATGATCATAACATCATCTTTAAAAGAAAATACACACACACACACACACATATATATATATATATATAATACAAACCTCACAAATGAATTTATGTATTTTAATTGTACAATGAAACATTTATTTATATTCATATTTATAATTGTAATAATTACAAAATATTTATAAAATATTTACTTATTGAATTAACATAATTACAAAGATAAATCTCTCTTATTATTATAATTATTTATGTTTAACAATTTTTATGAATTATTTATTATTCTCTTTTTATTTGCTTTTCGTGGAGTTAGATAGAATTTAAATTAAAATAAATATTTGTAATGGAATTAAACTCAATGATATTAACTAAGAATAAATTTAATATGTTATAATATATAAAAATAGTAAAGAATTCAATTGTCTTAACTAATAAAATTAGATTCAATTATATTAATTAAAGATAAAAATATTGTTACAATAATTTTTAAAAAATTAATTAACTTGAATTATATTTTGTTAATTTATGTAATTTAAATAAAAGTTTCTTATAAAATAAATAAAATATATATAAAGTGACAATGCTCTGTAAATGCCGGAACAGTCCTAAGTCTTTTAAATTTTATCATAGAGGTACCCCAAGAAGGCATGATATCAACCTCTCAAATTACAAGTCTCGATCAACCTCTCAAATTAAAAGTGGATAACCTTCTCACGAGTAGTATTACCCATGCTTGGCTCTATCACCGTTGTTCACTGTTGTAACCCCTGTTGGCTATTATCACTGCAACCTTTAAAATCATTGATTTTTAGGGTTCACCAAGAAGGACAAAATAGAATAAGTTATTTTATTTTTAATATTTATTAAATAATAAATTTTAATAGTTTATTCTCTTAAATTATCGTATTCTATCTTAATAGTTCAAATTTATGATATATATATATATATATATATATATATATTAAATATAAGATATGATAAAAAAATTATTTTTTTGTTTTATCTTATCTTTATTCAACTCATATATTTTATTTTATTTTTATTCCATTCTATTTATCAAACAAATGTTGAAGATTCGATTGATAAACAATAATATATCATAATTTATCCTATTTTATTAATAAATTTTATTGTAAAAAATTCTTGTCATTAAACGTATTAAAATAATTGAACCCAAATTTAAATTTATGTCAATTTTGTTAACTTAAATTTTTAAAATTTAATTATTCAAAAATAATAAATTTTATTTAAAAAATATTAACTAAGAATACAAAATGTAATAATTTTTATTAAAAATTTATTGTAACTATATTTACTATAAATTTCTTTTAGCAAATAAATAAATTCAAGAATAATGTGTAATTGAATTTTAAGATCCTTTTAATAAGTTCTTATTAATATGTTTTTAATGAAATTAACGAATGAACGAATAAAAATAAAATGTAGAGAAGGAAGTTAATAAAAGAAAAAAAGAAAAAAAATTGTAAAGAAATAATAAAAAGAAAATAAAAAAATACTAAGAACAATTCTTGATGAAATAATTACAACTACAAGAGAGTATAACTTTAATTGAGACAACATAATTATTAATCTCTTTTCGTTATAATTTAACTTGGCGTGAAATATTTTGCAATTTTCAACATAGGAAGTATCTAATACGTAAAGAAGTCTTTTATCTTAATTTATAAAAAATAATTAAGTAAGAACACATGTCTAACTCTTATTGTATATTTTACATAATTTTGCTATATATTGTAATGTATAACTATTAATAACTACTTTTAGCATATCTAATAGTTACACATTAAGAGCATTTTTTTTTTTTTGGCAATTCATCTATCATCTTTGAAAACTTTTGAATTTTAAAAACACTACCTTTAGAAATAGTTTAAACTAATATCTTAACAAAAAAAATTTAATATATTTTTACACATTGAGAACATTTTATTTTTTTACAGATTCTTCAATTATCTTGGAAACTTTTGAATTTTAAAAATTCTACCTTTAAAAATAGCTTGAACTAATATCTTGACAAAAATTCTTCAACATATTCTTACACTTTTAAAATGAGCTTAAATTTAATGCTTTTTTTAACAAACTTTTAATTAATGGGAGTTAATCCATACCAAATTTTACAAAAACTTGTTTAAAAATTTAATATTTTCTTAACCATATTTTGTAAAAAAAATTTGTCAAAATATTACCTTTTATTTTTTGTTGAAATCTTACTATGTTATGTTATGTAAAATTATGTTAAAATATGTATTTCAACTAAAAATCAAGGTCATAATTTATTGACTCAAGATAAGATTTTTTGAGAAGAAATAATAAATTTTAATCTTTATAAGCTAATTTTTGACCCAAAAAAAAAACCTATATGAACCTTACCCAAAATAAAAACTTATTTCAAACAAAATAAAGTCATTATAACTTGAGAAATTTTTATTTCTATTCAACAAATTAATTACTTAAACTTAGTTTTAAAAGTTAAAATTAATAATTTTACATTCTAATTATTTACACCACTCAAACTTAGAAATTATAATTTTAAATTAACTTAAATTACGACAAAATTATAATTCTTAATTACAATTTTAATTTTATGCACTAAACAATTTTTTCGAATATGGAAGAGGCTTCGATTTCTTCTTTCTTTTCATGAGAAAATGACAACCAATGAAATTATAAAAAGAATAAAAACATGGTTAAAAATAGAATATGTGGCGAGGTGCAGCAAATGGGCGTGCTCATGCTGGTGCTATCTAATTTGGCGGCGGTGGCGGCACTGCAATTTTCCAGTTCACGGCTCTGTTCGGTGCCGGGGGCGGTGGAGGCGACGGCATTCTGCGTTTCATTGTCTCGATGAGCTTTTGAGGAGAATCCAAGAATGTCCCATGAACTACAACAGAATTAGAAGCGTAGCTAATGAAACTAAAATACGAAAGTAACAAGGCAAGCACAAGGATGAAGGCAAATGGGAATGATTTGGGAGCCATAATTTTCATCAGGTGTTGGTTTCGATAGCGGTGATGGTTCCTGGTTACATAATATAAATTTTATAGATAGATGTGAAGAAGGGTCTGTGAATCACAGAATCAAAGCACCTGTTTCCTCGATACACTTACGAAATTTCCTTTGAAGTTTCCTGTGTGAACACCAAAAGCATGTTTGAATAAGCAAAGTTTCCCGGTGTGAATTTTTACCAAGAAAAAAAAGTCTGAGCAAGCAAACCATAGTCAACCCAGAGGTGGGATTAAGCGCATATAATACGTCAATCTCAATATTTTAAAAATAGTTAAATATATTTTTAGTTCATATATTTAATATTATTTTTATATAAATATTTATAAATTCTTCATTATAAAACAATTAAACTTAATCATTGTACTAGATAAAGACCAACTCGGTACTACTTGTAGTGAAAGGAAACCGAGTACCTATTCGACCTAGGTGGTCGGATACCCATTGTCAGGATTATAAGTTAATTACTCCAATTAGGGGTAATAATCAAGATATTATTTACTTTAAATAAAGGGCTAAAATGAAGACTGACTTAACAAGTCCACTGGCCCATTACAGTGCCTATATAAGGAAGGTAAAAGTACAGGTAAAAGGTTGACTTTTCATTATTAAATAGCATTTATTGCTCAGAACCGAATCCTGACTTCAGCATCGGAGTGCCTTTTACAGGTACCCTCCCACGTCAACAACGGTTAGAGAAACGTCAGTACGTCAGAGCATTTTAAAGACCTGTGTTACCTTAACAGGAACATTTTGGCGCCCACCATGAGGCACGATTAGCCTCATTTTTCAGAATTAAAAATGGTACTAATGAGAAGCCAGCAGGAAGGACATGTTCAACAGGGAGGAACCTCTCGGCAACAGTTGGAGAATGTTACACCAGATGAACCGACACCTGAAGTAGTGATGCAAGGAGGGACCGATGAGAGCCTTTTAGCTATACTAAGACAGCTCAAAGCAGAAATGGAAGAGATGAAAAGGGAGAGAGAGAAGGATGCATTAGAGCTCTCGGCTCTGAGAAGGGAAAATGCTAGCTTGAGAGGAGAGATCAGAACACACATCCCTTCTTAAAATACACCTATCATCCAGGATCAGGGGGAATCCTCGGCGCTGCAAGAGAAATCAAAGCAGGTTTATCAATCTGAAGCTAAAAATGACCGAGACGATCTCATAAGCCGAAGCCCATTTGTTCACCATATATTGGAGGCTAAGCTGCCTGATAATTGGAGAGGCTTAACAATAGATAAATATGATGGCACATTGGACCTTGGGGAACATTTGGATGTCTTTACAACCCAAGTCGGTCTGTACACCGAGAATGATTCTTTATGGTGTAGGATTTTTCCCACCTCACTCCGAGGGCCTGCACTCAGTTGGTTCACCCGACTCCCCCCTTCATCCATCGACTCTTTTGCAACACTCGCAAGACGGTTTAACTTGCAGTTCGCTACAAGCCGACATCATCCCTTAACATCCTTGACACTAGTCAACATTTGCCAAGAAAAGGGAGAGTCACTTAGAGCGTTCATGGAACGCTTTGGCAAAGTGACCCTTTCGATCCATAATTTGGAGCCAGCAGTGGCCATGCACCACCTCACAACGGCCTTAAAGCCAGGACCTTTCGTTAATAACATCTGTAAAAAACCACTTGTCGACCTAGACGAGTTAAGAAGTTAGGCCGCAAAGTATATGCAGATGGAAGAATTGTCCGAATACCAAAACCAGGTACGGATGGACCAAGGGTCCAATTCAAAAAATACAAACAGGAAAGAAGCTTTCAAGGCTAGGCAGGGAAATGAGAGAAGAAATGAACTTGAAAGCCCGCCCCGGGGACCTAAGTATCCTTCCTACACTATGCTCAACACTAATCGGTCTAGAGTACTTGATCAGGCATTGGCCACAGAAATATTGAGAATACCTAGACGCACCAATACCCCTCCTCGGGCAGATAAAAGCAAGTCTTGCCGATATCATTAGAACAGGGGTCACACCACCGAGGAATGCACAGCGCTAAAAGATAAAATTGAAGAATTAATCAAGGAAGGACATTTAAAAGATTTTGTATAGACAAATCCCATGGGGCAACCTAACAGAGGAAGAGACTGTTACCCTGAACCACCGAGAAGATCTGATGACAAAATATTTGAACGACATAGGAGTAAGTCCAGAGAACCCCCAACTAGAAGATATAATGAACGAGAGAAGTATCCCAAAAGGGTCATTAACACCATAGCTAGAGGGTTTGCCGGTGGAGGACCTACCCATTTGGCCAGAAAGAGGCATCTCAGACATGTTCGTTCTGTTAATAATGTTTCATTGGGCAGCAAAATCTGGATCTCACCTATTACGTTCACTAACGATGACTTTCAAGGAGTTGATCCGGTGCAGGATGATCCCATGGTCATTAGTGTAGACATTCTTAATTGCACTGTTCAGAAAATACTAATTGACCAAGGGAGCTCGGTTGACATCCTGTATTTGAGTACATTTAAGCAATTAGGCATCCCTGAAGAAGAGCTCAGAGAATATCACGAACTGTTGGTCAGTTTTTCTGGGGAATGAGTGGAGACTAGGGGTTGTATTGACTTGTATACCTCGTTTGGATCAGAGCATGAGGGAAAACATATAAAAGTCACTTATCTTGCAGTACATGCGAACACCTCTTATAATATACTACTCGGCAGACCATCCCTGAATAAATTGAAGGCCATAGTGTCTACTCCGCACTTGGTCATGAAGTTTCCATCTGAAAGGGGCCGAATCGTTACAGTCCATGTTGACCAGAAAACAGCCAGGGAATGCTACTTTGCAAGCTTACGTCTTAGACCCTTTCATGGGAATAGCTGAGATGTCAATATTGTATCCCCTCGGTTGGGAGAGGAATTAGATGTTGAACTTGATCCTAGAATGGATGAGGGATATCGGGTTGATCCTAATGAAAACAAGCAATCTTTCCAACTTGGATCAAAGCCACAACAAGTTACTTATTTGGGGGTCAGTTTAAATGCACAAAAAAAGCAAATTTTTCAAGAAATGTTGCTGAATAACGTCGATTTGTTTGTTTGGTCAGCCTCAGACATACCTGGCATCGATCTGGCATTTCTTTGTCACCGCTTATCGGTTTATAAGGGGGCCAAACCGATAGCTCAGAAGAAGAGGAAAATTGGTGGCGATAGACCAAAGGCAGTAGAAGAAGAAACTGGCAAGCTACTACAGGCTGGCTTTATCAGAGAAGTAAGGTATTCAACGTGGTTAGCCAATGTCGTCATGGTTAAAAAAGCCAATGGTAAATAACGAATGTGCATGGACTTCACGGACCTCAACAAAGCATGCCTAAAGGACGTGTACCCCCTACCAAACATTGATACCCTGGTCGATGGTGCAGCCGGTCACAAGATACTGAGCTTTTTGGATGCTTATTCTGGATATAATCAAATACGAATGTATTCCCTAGATGAGGAGAAAATGGCATTCATCACAAATTCAGCAAATTTTTGTTACCAAGTGATGCCATTCGGTTTGAAGAATGCAGGGGCGACATACCAGCGACTCATGAATAAAATTTTTGAGAAGCAAGTGGGTAAATGCTTGGAGGTGTATGTGGATGACATGTTGGTTAAGTCCACCATATTGAAGCAACATCTTACTCATTTGGAAGAGGTATTCGGGAAGGCTAGGAAGCATGGTATGAGGTTTAACCCCGAGAAGTGCACATTTGGGGTAACTGGGGGCAAGTTTCTTGGATTTATGTTATCTGAAAGGGGAATCCAGGCTAACCCTGACAAATGCCAAGCCATCATCGAAATGGTTAGCCCTCAGAATGTTAAGGAAGTTCAGAGACTGGCCAGTCGGATTGCAGCCCTCGTTTGATTTCTACCACTAATGGCAGAAAGGTCTCAGCCTTTCATCGAACTGCTCAAAAAATCTCAAAAATTTGCTTGGTCCAACGAGTGTGAGGCTGCCTTCATTCAATTCAAGCATATGCTATCAACGCCGCCTGTGCTGACAAAACCGAATCCTGAACAAGAGATGATTGTCTATTTGGTCGTATCTGATAATGCCATCAGCTCGGTTCTACTGCAAGAAACACCTGAACCGGCCCCCGTGTATTTCGTTAGTCGAACACTTCAAGGCCCTGAATCCCGCTACCAGTTGATGGAGAAGGTAGTACTAGCTTTACTCCATACAGCTCATCAGTTAAGACACTATTTTCAAAGTCATCGGGTACTCATACGTACAGATTGTCCAATGGCCAAAATTATGAGGAAACCAGAGTTGGTTGGTCGGCTGGTAGCATGGACAATTGAACTATCTCAATTCGACATTCATTTTGAGAACCGATGCCCCCTTAAAGCTCAGGTGTTAGCCGACTTCGTCAATGAATTTACTGTACAACGACAAACTACTTCGGACATGTGGAATCTGCATGTTGACAGATCATCAAACCGACTAGGTAGTGGAGCTGGGGTCATACTTGAAGGGTCGAACGCATTTGCTATTGAACAATCCATTCAGTTTGGATTCAAAGCATCCAACAATCAAGCTGAATATGAGGCTTTACTTGCTGGTCTCAGATTAGCAAAGGAGATGGGAGTTAAACGCATTACTGGTTGGAGTGATTCAAAAATTATGGCCGAACAGGTTAATGATACATATCAGGTTAGGGACTCGGTTATGCTTAAATATTACCAAGAATTCAAGAAAATAAAAGATAAATTTGATGAGGTATGTGTTCGGCACACGCCAAGAAACATGAACGAGCGAGCCGATAGGCTTGCTAGGCTGGCTAGCCAAAGAAAATCGGGGCAATTGCAAAGCATGGTTCATTAAGAAATCCTCCAACCCAGCATCACCAAACAAGAATGCATGGACATAGAAAATAAATCTCATAATTGGATGACCCCAATCATCCAGTACCTCATCGATGGCAGCTTACCAGAGGATCCAACTTCAGCTAAGAAAATAAAAATGCATGCAGCTAAGTACC